GTGATTACTGAAAAATCCTGGTCCCCTAGTTTGAAGTAGTAAGGATTAGGAATCGGTGGTAGATCTTACATCCCGCAACGTACCACGAAAAGGTGATCTTACGGGGCTTCATTTTCTTAAATAGCCTTAAATAATTTGATCTTGGCCTATCTTTTACGTTTTCAAGACCATTTTGATGATTTAAGTCGATTTCAGCATTTTTAAACTATATTGGCAAAGTTTAGACAATATCAGTGATCATAAGATCATTTTTGGCGCTTAAGAGCTATTTCTGCGCTCATAAGGACACTTTTGAAAGTAATTAGGTAATTTTGACGTTTATAAGACAACTTTCGAGGCAATTTTGTCAATTTAAGGTAACTTTTGGCTTTTAAAGGGACATTTCTAGACTAATATTTGAAAAGGGCGTAGCTCCAAAATGACCATATCGAGAAAATCGCTTCCGAATTTTGATGACCTAAAAATTAATCCTATTTCACGACTTTCCATTTTCTGGATGATTTTATAAGCTTGACATATAGTTAATAGTGTATTCTATCGTCATGCATCACTAAAACTAAAAAAAAAAAAGTTTTCTTTGTCGTGAAATTGAGAATAAAACATCATACGCCCTGACAATTTCTTACATGTTGCTATCCCCCGGAACTTCCATCCTTTGAACTGCCAACACTGGTGATACGCCGTGGAAATACACCCTCGGGATTTTTTGTTTGTTGTTCCGCCTTGGTTCTTCGTTCGCAAATTTTGTGAGAGTGGAATTACGCCCGGAGATTTTTGGTCTTCTTTTTGTTCATTGTTTACACGTGAAATATCAATCGGATGCATTTCAAATGAATCGGGCGTGACTAGGTACTACAGAATCAGTACGTTTGCCATATTAACACAATATAATTCGTAGCTTTGGTGCAAGGCGTAACAACCAGATGCATCATAGAGTTGAAAGTTGGAATTACGCCATGTAAGAAGAAACGTTTTTGATGATTTGAAGTGATATTTTCTTCTACTTTTTCGTGTTTATCGAATAGTTTGTGAACTGTTGTTTATATGTTGCAAAATATGGTTTGTTTACATTTTGGAGTTACGCCCTTTTCAAATGTTAGTCTAAATTTTTTCAACTTATTCTTCAATGTTTCTTTTGGATTGGATGTTTTGGGGTTGTAGGGCTATTTTGTAATTTCCATGGAAATTTTTGACGTTTCTGATGCCATTTTTGATTACTTTGTGTTTTGACATTTTAAAGGACCATCTTGCAAATTCTAGGGAATTTTCAGAACAATTAAAAAGGGGCCGACCGAGGGGGGATACCCTATCTGCGATACAGGAAAGATTTTGTTTTGCTGTGGATGGCTGTGCGCACGCCGAGTAGATAGAAAGAAGATTGATGACGATTCTGAAGATTTCCTGCAAAAAGATGAAGCGCGATGCAAGTAGATGTGTCGACCCTATTTTCAGTTTAAAATTTCAGATAGATCAACACAATGTTTGACTGCTGTCCGAAGAAGTCGTCTCCACTCTACTCGATCCATGGCCACACTTCATCAGCATCGTAGTCTGCGAAGGGTCCGCAGGTCGCCTAGTACTTGGCCGATCCCCTAGAACTAGAACCCCTTCCTCTCATGTATTTCGTCTTGGATGCGTTGATGGCAAGTCCAATCCGCCTAGCTTTAGCTTCAAAAAGATGCTGGAACGATTAAAGCCGAAGAGTTTCGTCCCAACAACATGATGAAGAGAGAAAATTTTAGAACTTGTTGTGAAAAGCCAGTTGTTGGAGTATTTACATAATGATAGTTTGTTGATACCAGAACAATCGGGATAGCGGGAAGGTCATTCTTGTGAAACCGCGTTGAATTTGGTTTATTAGTGTATTGCAAAGATAACTTGGAGCGTAAAGATACGATTTTTGCTGTTTTTTGGATCTAAAATGCGCTTTCAAAACAATCTCTAGGCCCTAATTTTTACGATCTATCAAGCACTTTGTAATTATCAGGACTGTATAGTAATGGTTTGAAATCTATTTGTGTGACAGAACTCAACGGATTGTTTTTAATGATTCTGTATCGTGTCCCGTGGGTAATAACCTTGAAGTGCCCCAGGGAAGTGTATTAGGGTCCCTTTTATTTATTATGTATATTAATGACGTGTTTTACGATTTTTCGACGTTAATCTTTTTGCAGATGCTACTGTGTTATTCATTGCAGCTAAGGATTTAGATGATGCCGTTTTACATTTGAATGAAGATTTGTGTTTTCTAAGTAGATGTTTGAAGATTAAATTTGTTATCAAGAAAATTGCCAAGAAGTATGGAATTGTATGTCGATTGAAACACGATTTAACTATTACCAGTTAAATACAGCTATAGAAATCAATCATATCTCCTCATCTGGACCTTCGCCCTTCAATTTTATTGTTGACCAATGCAACACAAATATCGAGATTACAACGCTTGCTGTTTATGAATTGACAAATTATATATCTGGACGAAGTTTGAAACGGATTATTTTGAATGGATTGCTGTCATAACGACTTTTTTAATAATTATTGTAGCACTGCAACAACTATTTTGTTCGCAACGATATGGTGATGGTGGATGGTGGATTTGATTTATTAGTAGCAGTTAAAACAAATAATTTTGAGTTGTCTACAAAGGTAAGACAATTGAACTTTGAAGCTTATTCGGAAGATGACTTGAACTAGTAGTAAGTAGGAAAAACGTCACGATAGGGGGGGAGGGGGTAATTTTTTGCTTGATTTAGCGTGACATAATTAATGCATGGGCCCTTATTGCATATCGCATATTAGCTTATTGCGTGCTCTCAACTTAAACGCTGTCCAGACTGGAGAGTTATAACATGTTATAACGGTTGTCAAATAATTGCAACACACCACCATCAAGCTAGCGCTATAACATGTTATAACTCTGTAGTCTGAGCGTACTATTAGTGTTCTAGATGCACTTCTACAGTTATTAATTGAGAGCTTTCGATGCCTGTACCATTTTTGCATTGGTATTATTGTGTGGCAAGTCCAATCATACTTCTATGCCCAGGGAAGTCGAGAAATTTTCCACCCCGCAAAATTCCTAGACCGGATAGGGAATTGATCTTGCTTTGTAGCTGCGCCTTTTCCGACTGAGCTAAGGGAGCCCCCTCCCCCCTGACGACGTTGCTGAACATTATGATTGTAATAGATTGTGGGGTTGCTAGTGTAATAGGATGCTTTGTTGATTATTCATGAACTCTTAGGGTGAGCAAAGCCTATGCTTGTTCACATTTATATCGCTGTAAAGCAACTGAAAGTGTCCAGGAAATTTATATCTGTAACTGTTACCAGTTCGTTTTTGTTTGCTTGTCCGATTAAGATGTTATACTTAATTATCTTAAAGATATACCATCCAGCTCAAACCTTTGTAGGGGTGGGACAATCATCATCAATATTTTCAGTAGACTTGCTCACTCGAGATTATTGTAAAATATATACAATTAGCTGAGTTTTAGTAGGGTGGTTTCCCCTACTTACAACTCGTACCTGTCCGTACCCAATGAGGCACAGAGAGAGAGGTGAAGCAGATCGTGAAATATTGTTGTATTAGTAAACAAAAAAGTAAGAGGTTGTATCCAAGGCACGACCGTAGATTTGACGTAGGATTACGTGCTCGGTATCAATATTCGGCGACTGTGTTAGGGAAACTACTTTTTCCCATCAGGGAAACGCCTCGTTTCCTGATGAAAAAATTACGCATTTTCATGCACAAAACGCACGGAATTTTTTAGTTTATTTAATAGATAATAATGAAAAGCGAAAATTGATTGGACAATCGCTATAAGCGATCAATCATGTAAAATCGAGATTTGTTTGCTATTTTCTAGCATTCTGGAGAAAACCTTACCTTAATTCGTTCCCGGTTAATTGACAAGGTCATGTGGTATTCGACCATTTCGAGAATTTTCACGTACTAGTTCAATACTTTTACGCACTTGAACACAAACGGCTGCTGGGAGTGATGTAGCTGGCAGCAAGGTGAGCGAACGTTCAATGGAAATTAACTCTTAAACAACAATAATTTATAATGGTCTTGAAAAGAAGCGTTTTGTCGTGTTGGATGAGTAATGCTGAGCTATTAGGGTATTCAACACGGATGAGGCTGGCGAGCTGTATGTTGTTTGGAACGAGGGTGACGCGCTTGGCATGGATGGCTCACGACGAGCAACTGAATCCGATCAGTTGCTGGTGCGGCTTCTTCCTCCTTCTTCGGTGAATCGAGTGTTCAGTGTGTGATTTAATAAGCACCGTTCCGCGAGACCGGATGGGAATTGATTTTGAAATCTGTGTTAGGGAAAGCGCTTTTGCAGGCAATCGGTGATAATTTTGATCACCATTGTAAAAGTTGGACATTTGTGTAATTGTCAATAGTGACCTATTAAAAATTGATAAAATGTTCATTTTAGCAAATTTGTAGAAAAATTTCCAATCGATTGGCTTGCTTAGGATTAAAATCCATCCGCTATTGACAGAGTTATAAGCGGTCAAAACCTGACCACTTTTCGTAACGAAGTCGATTTTTTTTTTAAATTGCACCCCCGCTTATGTTGCCGAAAGACGTAATCCTACGTCAAAAAACAACGTAAACGCAATTAGTGTCGTCAGTAATTGCTTGTAGCGTACAGTGGTTACACAACTTTGCTTCACCTCGTTAATCCAGCTCATTGGTCCGTACCTACATAATGCCCTGTTAGTTAGGAATCGAAAGAGGAACCCAATAATAGGATGGACTGCTAAGCGCCACCGACCAGACCAGACAAACATGTGTTCACTACATGTGGTATAACAACCGAGTAACAAGACACAGCGTCTCGTCACGTGGCTCGACATTGACCTGGAAGACGCGATTGCAAATCTTATAGCTTCTTACCACCATGTTGCCATGTGCAGAATGACAAAATTCGAACCTAAAAATGAGAAACTAATCAATTTGCATTCCTTCTCTTGCCTGTCGCTTTCAGATTGCTCACGCCCACCAGCAGTAGTGGATATCAGGAGAGTGTTTCGCTCCTGGCGGCCGTGCTAGGTCGTTCGCTGGCGAAAATCCATCAGTCGCATCAAATACTACACCAGACGCCACATAGGGCGGAGCAGAAAGGATGCAGCGAACGTTCGGACTATCGCCAGCCAGCCGCGCCGGAGTGTACGATGGTAAGATAGCTGGCCTATACGACCTGGAGGAAACGCTCGGCTCGGGACACTTTGCGGTGGTGAAGCTGGCGCGGCATGTCTTCACCGGCGAGAAGGTGGCCGTCAAGGTGATAGACAAAACCAAACTGGACGAAATCTCGCGGGCCCATCTGTTCCAGGAAGTGCGGTACGGTGGCTTCTTATCGGTGGCCAAATCATATTAAATTGATTGGAAATTTCCTCTTCCAGGTGTATGAAGCTCGTTCAGCACCCGAATGTGGTGCGGCTGTACGAGGTCATCGACACTCAGACCAAACTGTATCTGATATTGGAGCTGGGCGATGGGGGAGATCTGTACGATTACATCATGCGCCACGACAAGGGCCTGTCGGAGAATGTGGCACGGGAGTACTTCCGTCAGATTGTGCGGGCCATCTCGTACTGCCATCAGTTGCATGTCGTGCATAGGTGAGTTGACTGACTGGACTGAATTCCAAAGCATTTAAAAACGCTCATCTTTCTATTCACAGGGACTTAAAACCAGAAAATGTAGTATTTTTCGAAAAGTTAGGAGTGGTAAAATTGACTGATTTTGGATTTAGTAATAAGTTCTGTCCGGGCCAAAAGCTGGAAACATCCTGCGGCAGTTTAGCGTACTCGGCGCCGGAAATTCTGCTCGGCGATTCGTATGACGCACCGGCAGTCGGTAAGCAATAATATCCGCTTTGTGGTAGGGGCTGTTCATAAACTACGTAGTAGTTTTTAAGATTCTAGACCCCCCATACTAAACGCTGTTTATGAACTACCCCGTATTGAATTACGAGGGTAAACCAACTAACTTGTTCTTCCTTTCTCATATCCGCAGACGTCTGGTCACTGGGTGTCATTTTGTTCATGCTCGTGTGCGGCCACCCACCGTTCCAGGAGGCAAACGACTCCGAAACGCTCACAATGATTATGGACTGCAAGTACACGATGCCGGATCACGTGTCCGAGGGCTGTCGAAGGTAGTACCGCTGCTTTCGCACGTTTATACAAATGCCAACAAACTCGAACAAATAATAATCCTTTACGTCCCCCCTTCCCCAGACTCATCGGTAACATGTTGGTGCGGGAGCCGGAGAAACGTGCCACCCTGCAGCAGATTGCCCAGAACGAGTGGCTGCTCGAGGGAAGCACCGAGGAAACACCCGAGTACCTGCCGCTCGTAAGCCGGGAGCAAGTGAGCGAAGAAGATCATTCGTTGATCATTCAGAAAATGATCAACGGCAAAATAGCCACCAAAGAGGAAGTTTTAGAGTAAGTATCACCTAAATTCCATTTTTAAAACTGCTTCACAGAATGGTGTTTTATTTTCCTCTTCCCAGGGCTCTAGATCGTAACGAATATAACCACATAACGGCGACATATTTTCTGCTGGCTGAGCGAAAATTGCGCGCCCATCGGCAGGAGGAAGCGCAAAAGCGGAAACCGGAGCTCACGTTACCGGTGTCCAACTCGACAAGGTAAGGACAACATGCTTATGTGTGCTTTCGTTATCCTACCTATGAACATGTATGTTGGTGTGTATTTGGTGCTCAATTGGTGCAGTATTCTAAACGCCTACGAATGGGGTCCTCCTGGTTCGAACTAAAGAGCGGAAAAATTACACTCACATCACATCGTAACGTTGCATGCATGCATGATCAAAGCATTTTCGGTCATATCGGTTGTCAGTCGGCTTTTGTGGAAAATGATTTGCTGTTTTTTTAGAGTAGAAAAGTTGATTAATAATAGCTGCTATCTAGCCACGGGTGACTGATACTTCTGGTGAAAGGATTATAGACTTTTTGATGTCGTTGATTAAAGTAGAAACATGCAATCCCAGTTAGTGATACATTAAGCATCAAGTACTACATCATAGGTGACCACAAATGATCATTTGATATGATCCAAAGACCATTCTATGTGTACTGAGTAAATATCGGGAAGGTGAATGCGAATTTGCAACGTTAGAGTTTTGGGTTATTGAATTTTGAATTTGAAATAGCTGTTGATTTCAATAATCTTTGAGGAAGCTTTAGAATCTTTTTTTTTAATCTTTATTATAGAGATTTTTAGCCGAAGGCTAGTTCATCTCTATGCTTTAGAATCGAATATCACTGTTAAACTTGAAACTTTTGTATTTTGATGTGATTGATTAACTAAAATTTCGCTACTTATACTATACATAGTCTATATTGCTCAATATATGTCCCTATATTACGTAATATCAGCTATAGTCTGGACGTAGCATTATACGACTCGTATTTGTATAGCAAATGGCAAAACAAGCATACAAATAAACGTGACCCTATTCACCCATTTATGAATTGCCGCTAACAAAACGTAGTACAAAGTCTAAGCTTTAGTTGATATTGTTATCCTCTATATGCAGTCAAAATAGGTCAAGATAAAATTAGAATGTGTTATAACTTTGCAAGGAATGCACATTAGACTGATGCAAAATTTTAAATGTTCGCTCCACAGTGCTCAAACGGTTCCAAATCGGGTTCTAATTAGCTTCCCAAAATTTAAACTCATTTGCTAAGAAACTGACTTGGCACAAACCATTTAAAGTTCACATGGAATTTACTATGGGAAAACCAAACTTTTGGATCACTGTCTTCTAGTGCTGTGACGAGGTCATATTTATCGATAATATCGATGTGGGTATCTGAAAATATCGATGTGGGTATCTGAAAATATCGATATCATTTCGATATCGGATTATGAGTATCGATATCGGGTCCGATATCTAATATTCAATGGAAAATTCATTAAACATATTTAATTCTCTTCCAACATCACAATGCATTTGGAAAATCAAAACATCGACATTACACAAACACACATATTCTGGCCACTCTTCGAGGCTAGATCGCTTAAAATACGCCTTGTTTAAAAAAAGGGTCCAAATGGACCGAGGTTGTAATATTTGACAGAAGTTTTAGAGCCACCTGGAACAAACATGGAAACGTACTCTTCTTACTTGTCCTAAGTAAGATAAGTTCCGAAAAATAGCACACGTAATTAGTTCAACACCACTCCGCGCGTACCTACATATCACAGGGCTGGTAGTGAGTCACTTTTTAGTGACTTGGTCACTTTTTTCAAGCCAGTCACTAAAAAGTCTTTTTTTTAAGGTCAAGTCACTAAACTCACTTTTTCTTATAATCGGTCACTATTTTCATCTTTTTTAGCGTGAATTTATTTCAAGATTGATCATTCTTTACTTTGTGACGTTTAATCGTCTTTCTCTATCTACAGGGTGTCTACTCATTTTTCTTAGTAAAATTTCCTGAGTTTTACAGGTTTTTCCAGAACTTTAACGGATAAATTCAAGGCTTATAATAAGAAAGCTATTTTTAAAATGCGCTCAAAATATGCTTTTTCTGGAAGATCACAAAAACAACGTTTTTAAAACATGGCAATCAGTTTAAAAAAAAAACAACCTTATAATCAAATCCATTGAATGTTGAAGTTTAGCACTTGCTTAATTTCTCACTTTAATAAAGCTTAAAAAAACCTACTTTGAGAAAGTCCAAGATCTAAAAATATTCACTGACTTGTAGTTTCGTATTCCATGTACAAGTTCAAGATATTGAAAATTTTCAAAGTGCCTGAATTAAACATTAAATGATTAATAACTTTATGAAAGATTAGAGATCTTCATTGCAGTCCCATTAACTTCACAACAATTGTAGAAACTTTGAAGAAGTTCTGAGGAATGAAAGGAAATGCTGAGAATTTCAGTGAAGCTCCATAAACAAACTACGGTAACATAAGGGAAGTTAACACACTGAAATTATGGGGAACTTACTAGAAGTTTTAAGATCCTCAAATCGGTTCTTTTAAAATCCGAATATTTTCAGGAACTTTAATGAAGTAATAAAGGAACTTTAATGAAGTACCTAGAATTTCAGAGCACATCACAGGTGTTAAGCAAACTTGATAAATATAGAAAAAATATAGAAACCTTGAGGGGTATTGGGAAAATGTCTAAGAAGTTCTAAGCACCTCAGAAAAGCTAGATCTAGAGATCTTTGGGGAATTTCAGATCTTAAGAGCAGTTCCCATGACTTTAGTTCAGACTTTTTGAAGCAGTTTAAATATCTATAATCGTAATTTTTGAAAAATCGAGCACCCTTAAGATGTTCCGAGAATTTCAGGGAACTACAGAGACCATCAAAGAATTTATGAAAACTTCAGAATTCTTCCAAATTTCACAGAAGTCCAAAGAATTTCTGGGAAATTTATCTTCAATAGAATTGAGAACTTTAGGGAAGTTTCGATAACATCAAGACAGATCAGAGAATCAAAGGGCAGTTCAAATAATTGCAAGAAAATTGTAGAAACCTTAAACAAGTTCTCGAACGTGATAAAAATTATGTGAAACGTGTGAGTATTTATGGGTGTAATATCATGGAGATTTCAAGAACTTTAAAAAATGCGAAAATTTAGCTAAGTTGATTAGAGAATATCAACGTAGTTCCGTTAATTCAGCGATAAATATCTTCAAAAAATTCCAGAGAACTTAGAAGTTAGATACACAGATAAAAGTTCCGAATTTTAATTGTGATGTAAATATTCATTCACGTAAACTTGTATTTCATTTCACGCAACCGAGCAACTTGTAAACAATATATGGGCTAAAATGCATGAAATGTCTCAGAACTTTACACGATATATAATATGATATGTGACGCTCCATTTATGTGCATCATATTGAACAGAAATTTACACCACTTTTTCGTACTGTGTAGTTTCATGATATTCAGCGAAGTTCCGAGTACTTCGAGGACGATCAGATAGCTTCAGAGTAATCCCATTGACTTAAGCAAATTTGCAGAGACTTACAAGAATTTCAGGGAGAGGTCAGTTCCATTAGTTTCAGAAAATTAGTGGGAAATTTCAAGCAGTTCCCATATTTTCAGATAACTTCAGAGACGTTAAAAATTTAATTGAGGCCTTTGCATAAGTTCAGAAGTTAATTGAAGCTTAAACATTTTAAGGACGGTTCAATTAAATTCATGAGAACTGCAAAAACGTTAGAGTAGTTTTGAGAATTTCAGAAAAGAACAGAGAACCTCAAAGCAGTTCCGTTAATATTAGAGAAGTCACATAAAGTTTAAAGAAGTTTAGAGAACTTCAGCGAATTGTTAAACCTTTAGAAGAGATTCATGATCGTTAGAAAAATTAAGGAAACTTTAGAAGATCCTATAAAGTTCAGAGAAGTTTAAGAGTTTGATGAGTAGTATTGTGAGCATCAGGCTAGTTTCTCAAATTACAAACGAACTTCAAGGCAGATTTATTAACTTCAGGAAAAATTTGGGATGTTCTCAGAATAGTCCATTCCATATTCAATGGAAATTTCGATGAAGCTATCCTCCGAATTCAATTTTATTTTAATTTTCCTCGAAAGTACCTTGAAATTCTCCACAATAAGACACCCTTTGGAAAGATTATCAGAATATTCATTGAATTCATTTCAGATTCCTTTTGAATCTCACTCCTTCCCTTGGAATTCTACTCACATTGAAAGTCTGCTAAGAATTCAGTGGCATTTCTACTCACAAATTCCTTAGATTTCTTCTCATAATTTGTTCGGCAAACTCTCCTGAATTTATTTTCCGAATTGTTTGAAAATGTCCTGGAGTTATTCTCAGATTTAATTGTAATCCTTCTTTTAGTATTAAAAAAAATCCAAGGACTTATGCTCCGAATTTGTTTTCTCCCACAAACTTTATGAAACTATCCTCAGAATGACCTTGGAATTTTCCTTTGAAGTTCTCAGGAATTGTGCTCCTCAGAAATTCACAAGAGTTACCAATAAAATTTACTTTTAATTCAATTCAGCGTCACTTTTTAGATACTATTTTTACAACTATAAGTCACTATTTAGTCACTTATTTCTTCAACATGGTCACTAAAATCACTATTTTTGACAGCAGTGGTGGCGACCAGCCCTGATTTCAATTTCTGTACGAGATGAGCCGTCCACTTCGGTTATTATTGCGTTGAACCATTCCCTCGTGATTACTCCATACCAAATTAGCGGTAGGGATCTTTCTCATTGGCTCGTCGCGAACAAATTCTTCAAGATCCTCCAACTGGAGATAGAACCACCAATGACAGAACTATGTCAATGATTAAAACAAGTGATCGAATTTTGATTATTGAAATTTGAAATTTTGAGAGATTGAGAAAATGGCCTAATAACGTTTGTTTACAAAATGGAGTTGAGGCCTTTTCAATTGTTGGACTTGATTTCTCTGAAGACACTTTTTTGATTATGTCAATAGTTCATACACAATTCAATTATGTTCGTGATTTTGCCATCTCCGACCACTGTGCAAGGGCGTCTGGACGGTGGACAGTTTGGTTCAGAATTCTGACACTACGTGGCACAAGGTGCTACTGTGCATGTAAAATTGAGCATTTATTGATTTATTTTATCTCGTGATCGCGATGACCTAGAAAGTTCGAGTCTTCAGCAAAGTTGTTCAGAATATGGTCGGTATAGTTCGAAATTATATCACTAGGTGGCGCTAGTGTGCATGTAATTTGATAGAACGTTCGAGTCCTCAGCAATGTTGTTTAGAAGACTAAGTTCGTCCGGAAGATAGTTAGTATTGTTCAGAATTCTGTCACTACGTGTCGCTAGTGTGTATGTAAAATTGAGCTTTTCTGTAATTATATTATCTCGTGATACCGACCACCTAGAAAGTTCGAGTCTTCAGCAAAGTTGTTCAGAAAGCCATGGCCTAGCGGATAGTATTTAGTTCGTTTTGGAATCATGTCACTATGTGCCGCTACTGTGCATGCAAAAATGTGAAATGTATCGGATCTGAGAAGTTTGTTTTGGAATAACTTCAAAATAAAATGAATCGGGTCTGACAAGTTTGGAATCACTTGAATATGAAGTGAACCAGACCTGCACAATTTAGATCCACTTGAATATGAAGTGAATTCAAACAGAATTGTTTGGAATCGCTTGAATATGAAGTGAATCACACCTGAAAAGTTTGGAATCACTTGAATATGAAATAAACCAGACATGAAAAGTTAGGAATCATTTGAAAACACTACCAGTCATAAGTATGGAATCACTTAGAAAAGTATTGCAACACTCACCTCAAAAAGTATAGCATGACCCAAAAGGATTTTATTATTTTTTTTCAATTCACCCCAATTTACACTGACTCACTTCAGAAAAGTTTTGAACTTGTTCGGAAAGTACACTGCAGAAAGTCTAAGTTGATTGATGACCGTTTTGTAGAATAATTGCATACCTTTTTCGACGATTTTTGCTTTTAATTCTACTGCTTTTTTATCACTTTCACTAATTCACTTTCACTAATCCACTTTCACTATCACTTTGAACTATAACAGATACGTATTTTGTTCACTACTTGAAAGCTTCTTCAGTGTCAAGTCTATGACTGAATCAATTCAATAATGCTTAAAACTACTTTGGAAAGTACTGAATCACTTCAAAAGTGTTCGGAATAATTTTAGAAAGTTTTGAATAACTCCAAGAAAGTACTGAATGAATTACTTCAGAGAAGTTAAGAATCATTACAGAAAGTACTTGATCACTTCAGGATAGTTTGGAATAACTTCAAACAGTACTGAATCACTTTACAAATGTCTTCAATCATTTCGGAAAGCACTGATTCACTTCAGAAGAGTTTTGAATTATTTCTGAAAGTACTGAATCTCTTTAGAAATATTCGGGGTCACTTTGAAAAGTACAGAACCACGTCGGAAAAGATTAGAGTTACTTCAGAATTTACTGAAGAGTTTGAAATCACTTTCGCAAGTACTGATTCACTTCGAATAGAAATGGATCACTAAAGAAAAGTTTGGAATCCCTTCAGAAAGTATTGAATTATTTCAGAAAAGTTCAAAATCACTTCAAATACGAGTTCGGAAAGTACTGAATTACTTTGGACATTTTGGAATCACTTTGGAATGTATTGAATCATACCACAAAAGTTTTTTTTTATCGCTTCCGCAAGTACTGCTTAACTTTGGAAAGAACTTAATCCTTTAAGAAGAGTTTGGAATTACTTCAGAACGGACTGAATAACTTCAGAAAAGATCGGAATCACTTCGGAAGATACTGAATCACTTCAGAATTTTTTTTTAATTACTCCGGAATGTATTTAATCAATTCATACAATTTTGAAGTCACTTATTCATTTTTAAACTTCTGTTGAACTATTTATCGATGCATTAAATAGTGTTAACCTCTTGGTTTCATTATTTTGACTTTCGTTGGGAAATGTTTTCCGATTTTTCCCGAGATTTTCTTCTGACTTCTGTCTGATTTTTTTTAACTTGCTTTAGTTGCTTCGAAAAGCCATTCTGGCTACCCAGGACAGTTTTTTCGACTTCCCTGTAACTTCTCTTGGAAGTTTCTCACGAAATCCCGTGGATGCGTCTTTGAACTTTCTTCTAACTTCCTTGATGGAGATTTTTCCGACATCGACTAGAAGTTTATGATTGTCACCGTCTTGTTATTAGATGATAGTGCCAAGCCTCTTCTGTAAAAATGAAACTGTCTTCCGAGTTTCTCCAGAAACCTTCCGGATTTTCCCGGAAATTTATTCAATTGCCTCCGGAAGCTTCTTCAACATTCCCTCGGACATTTGAGGTTTCTTTCGTCTTCCCCTGGAAGTTTCTTCCTGTTACCTCCAGAAGAGCTGTAGCCTGCTTCTTGAATTGTAGCAATCTTCTGACTTCTGAGATCGTGCTAAATTTCACGTTAAATGTTTACCGACGGAAGTTTTCTCCAATTTGCTTAAGAAACTCCGTCTATCTTAACATCGCGAGAGGGGATGACGCGATACTCCATGTTAAAATCATATGGTCAGAAAATTCATGCAATCAGATGCTACACACCCAGTTTGTTGGGTCTCACTTTTTCCATTAAAACTCCCGATAAATAAGTCTTAATTTCGTTTGCTATTTGTAGCGTATTCAGGGGTTTACTTTTGAGCAGATAATATACAACTCCTTGGCCCAGTCGAAGACGGTTGGTAATATCCGGTACGCGAGGCAGTGGTACCGTAAGACGTTTCACCTGCCCCTCTATCTTCGACAAGGAATTATTATAATAAATATTGAATCCATGCTAGTAACCCAAGTCCAAACCTAATAAAACCCAAATAAGAGCATACGTAGGATTCCTTTAACCTAATAGCAACTAACCACCAACAGCTGTAAATAAATCTTTGCTCACCAAACCGTCCCAAATTATTTGCCACACCCCCATCGTCCGGAGTCCATCCGTGATTCATGCATCATCGTTTTGTTCTCTTCACGTGGAAAATACGACAATAATGCTTTTCTTTCAGGAGCCTGGGATCATAATGCACCGGCAAATTTACCTGCACTTCTGCTAAACCTAAACTACTATTTGTTTGGAGGATGACTTTCGGAATATCTTTATTGATTTCTAAATTTCTCGCATGTTTTATTTTAAATACCTTCTGCACGATTAAGATTCAATTTTGACTAACAATTAGCCTAGATATAAGCTTCATTGAAAGTGTTATGCCTTATTAAATAATCCCAATAGATATATGTAAATTGATGTAACAATAAACTTAGTAGCGATGGCTGAATCCATTTGACGACAATTCTCTGCAATATCCCCCAAATTCGCTATCATCCATCATTGCAGACTGCAAGGTTTTAAGAAAAATTCCGAGGACGACCCCAAAGAGGACGGTTTACTGCCACAGAAGCTCGGAATGCTCCTGAGCGTGCCGCGTACACCGGGTACAGAATCTGGACAGGTAAGTTCGCCTTTCATGGTATCTAGTTATCTGGACACAGTCTCACATGTAGCTTCGATTTTCCACAGACTGGTCGCAGCCGGAAGTGCAGTATCGTACAGGAGGAAGAGGACGATGAGGACGACGTTACTGGTGCTGGTCACGAGGAGCTGTCGACCCCGTTGAACCGCCGGGGTTCCCGATCGGAGGGCCGGCTCAACATTACCGTACAGGATCGGATAGCGGAATCCGAACGACTGAAGGTGGACGCAAAAAAGCAAGCGGAAGCCAATGAGAAGGAATTGCAACAGCAGCAGGAGCAGGAGCAGGAAGCGAAGGAAAACTCCGCTTCGGCAGTACAGAGCGCATTCGAAGGAATCGGGAATGTGACGTTGATTACGAGTGAAAATAGTTGTACCAAAGATAGGCTCGGAATAGCTGGTGGTGGATTACATCGGAAGGTTCCGGAGATCAAGAGGGGGTTGGATTTTTCCAAGAAAACATCCGTCCTCAAACCCCAGGGGAACGTTAGAGGCGGTTCGTTTGATAAATGCATTGCCAGTATTGAGGATTCGGAGTTGGTCCGTACGAAGATCATCACCGGTAGTGCGACCATAACAACTCCGTTGACAATTAATATTGAAAATGCTTCGAATATTCCCAAATACAAGACGATGCCATCGCCAACGCGGGTACATACCATCCTAAATTCGAACACTAATTGTTTGAATGAAATTTTTGAAGAAGGAACTGATGTTGGGAGTTCGGATAGTACAACGACAACTCCTCGACCGGTGGTGAGGAATCAGTTCAACGTCCGAACCCAAAGTCAAGGTGGAAATGGCAACAATGTCCATCGACGGACAAAGTTCAACAAATCTCGGACGGCTTCCTGCAGTAGTTCGGACGCTTCGGATGACGATTCGGAAAATAGGAAAAAGCGAGCGCACAAAATCGTCGATTCCACTGTGAAACCACAGACCCAACGTCGTGATTCTCATGATGATTCAAGCGATTCACAAGATCCGGGCAATGCTGCAGCACCTTCCGGCAACCAGGCCGGATCTTGCGTAAGAGCCATCATGAGTGGAGCTACGAATAACACTTCTAATAACGATAGCAGTAACCAAACAGTCACGGAGAAGCGAAACTCCGGCAACGGTAACCGTCAGAAATCCTCCCAACAGGTTGATTTCCGTCGACACCGAGGTCGGAGGAGACCCGTGGAGACGCGACTTCGTGAGAGTCAATCCCTAAATCGGATAACCGAAGTACAGGAATCCGAGACATCCCATTCGGCCGCTGCAGCAGCTGCTGCTGCCGCGGCTGCCGGTGCCATATCATCTACCGTGCCAACAGAAATTCCCGATGGGGAGAAGCCAAGCCAAAACACCGCCACCACCATCACCACCACCTCTAGTCAGGAGGATAATGGTTCCTTCGACGAGTCTAGCAATAACAGCAGTCATCCAGCGGAATGCGGGAATAGTCAAACGGCCACCTCCAACACCGGCAGCAGTACTTGTGCTGCTGGTAGCACCCATCCTAGCAAACCGAAAGGGTTCAGCGCGCGGATATTCCACACCTTCAAGAAGCAGCATCACCACCAGCAACCGTCGTCGAATAGTTCAACACCGAGTGTGGATGCCCCGGTTGAGGTCAAAAATGGTATGGCGGTTCCTCCCTCGGGCGATGACATCGAGATTGTGGTAGAGCTCACCAAAGCACTGAACGCGTCGGAGAGCAGTGGCAAAAGCACGAAGAAGATTAAAATTCTCGGACGATATTTTCAGGTATGTTTTGGGGCCGGGGCTCGGAGAGGTGATGGGTGTGGGAAGGGATCCGTAGCCGTTTGACATATACCGTGCCGATTCAAATTTCGGACACTTAAACTCGAATTTCGGACACTTTTAAAAGTTGATTATCTCGGTCGAATATGAACCACATGTCTTGTAAATTTTAAATTTTTTTGACTAGTGCCCTCCACGATCATCTAACATTATTACTTTGTTTCTAACTGGATGTAATATTTAATTAAAAATGAAAGTGTCCGAAATTTGAATCGTCCGAAATTTGAATCGGAACGGTAGCACAATATTGATTCGTCGTAGCTTCTTTAGAAAGATTATTTAGACATCCCCGAAAGCCTCCCTTAGCTCATTCGGTAAAGGCGCAGCTACCAAGCACGATCATGCTGGAGGTGGCTGGGTTTGATTCCCGATCCAGTCTAGGGATGTTTCGGGCTGGAAAGTACTTGCCATACAATTATACTAATGCAAAAATGGTACAGGCATCGAAAGCTTTCACTTAATAACTGTGGAAGTGCATCTAGAACACTAAGTTGAGAGCACGCAATAAGCTACTATGCGATAAGCAATGTTCATGACTTTTCTTGGAATTTTCCTCGCAGCTTTCATCCATCTTTAAGTGGCAATAGAATGTTTTTTGACTTCCCTTGGATGTTCCTATTGACTTCCACCGGTACATTCATGAAACTTCTCCTGGAAGTCTATTCCGGTTTTCCCTAGAAGTGCTTCTGGCTTCCTCCTGTAGATCTAATAGTTTTTTGCCAAGACTTTCTCTGAAAGTTCATCGGACAATTCTTACGATTTCTCCTGGAAGCTACCTCAGAGATCCCCTAGAAATCCTATTGACTTGTCTTGGAAGTGTTGACATTTTATACGATACCGTATGCGTGATAATGTTTGCACCATTGAGCAATGTCAAAATTAAAAAAATCTCAAAAATTTCGTTTTTGAGTTTTTTTTTATTTATTTAAAGGGGGTATGTTTATCAGAGTCTTATACCCCGTTCACATTACAGCGTATATCACGTGATATACGCTGTCTTGCAATGAGCACTCATACATCTAGTTTTCACTGGAAATCCTATGTATGAGTGCTTATTGCAAGACAGCCTATATTACGTGATATAGGCTGTAATGTGAACGGGGTATTAAACTATGTTAATCATCGATTGAGTTTCTACTTGCTGCAGGTAAGGCCTCCACACGCTTCCGGAATGCACGGCAGGTTCTAATAATGTAGTCTGGATCAATTTCTCTCCAGGTACGGGTCAATGTTTGTCTGAGGCTTGCTGTACTCGGGTGGCGTTTAGAACAGGCCTTGGCCTTCATAACGCGCCATATTGAGTAATCCAGCGGATTAGGATCGGGGCTGGATGGCGGCCACATATCATTCGCCCACTTCTGAGTGCGGTTCGAGGTGTGGCACGAAGCCCCTATCTTCTTGAAATACAACATTTGGCTTCGGACCGTACTGTTCTTTGATTCACGGAAGAACATACTTACTTAAAATCCCGATGTAGACCTCCGTGTTGACCTTGTCGCCTTCTGGAATGAACACCGGGTCCGATTTTTTACCATCGGAAGCCACCAATCCAAACACCATAACGCTAGCAGGATGCTTGGTCAGATACACGTTCTTGTGCTCGTCGGCCACGTCTTTTACCGGAAGAGAACTAATATACCGGTCGGTTCTGGAATTTGATACGGGATCGACGGTAAACATGCTCGACCGGATTTTTTCGCTTAAGGAAGTTCAAGATTTTCTTGCATCGTTCGACTCGTAGCTCCCGGATGCGGTTGGTTATCATGTGAGTTTTTTTCCGTGCCCTCGACTTCGCCCCGCAACCTTCCTTTACGATCTTCCGTGCCGTAAAGTCACTGATCCCGTGTTCCTTTGCCATTTTCCTTATTGAACGCACTGGATTCACCCGAATATTCCTTTTGATAGCAGCGATAACCCTCGGAACCCGAGCTGACCTCGGACGACCTGTGGCCACCTTCGCGGAGCGGATAGTTGTCCTTTCTTTTCTCGGTCTAAAACCCTTTTGACGGTCCACCGGGACACTCCCACGGCGATTGAAATGTCTTTTTGCGACATTTGCGCGTTGGACAAATCACGAATACGCTGCCACTTCGTCATGGTGCAACTGTCAAACTAAGTAAATAAGCAAAGAAAACCAAGGCATTGTATGCACAGGTGAAACGGGAACCTTATGTGTACGATGATGCAAACATTATCACGCATACGGTAGATGAGAAGATGAAAGTATATAGTTAATAGTTCCGTTATGGTACGGCAGTGTGAAAATTGTATAAAGAAAGTAGAAAGCGAGCAAAGGGCAATGTTGAGGAAGGTGCGAATCGGATCGAGCATCCTCTTTCCCAAAGTCATCTGTTGACAAGGGATGATAAGGGGTGCCCTCGCCGCCACCACTGAGATGATTGCCGATTTGCTCATGTACCTCAGACGTGCGAAAACATTCGCCACTCAAGTCGCCATCTGACGTAGGCATCTAGTCGATAGGTTTTGAAATTGCAGCTATTGTTTTGGTGAACTTTTCCAACACTGCTTCTACCTCTTAGAATTAAGCGAGCACATATGTAACTTGGATGAAGGTGTTGGGAGAAAATCAACTTCACACAATTGGTTCAAATGGCTTCACTAATTGGTTATTCCAGTTTCCTGATACAAGACAATCTTTAACAGCTTTAAGTTCAGGGTTCGATCTAGTAGCAACTTCAATTTCCCCTACATCAATCGCCGCTGATTCCTGAACAGCGAGAACTAAGAAATGGTTGTCTGTTTCGAATTCAACAGGATCCTCTGCTACTACCAGCCGAGACAGTGAGTTAGTAATATTTCCAGAACCTTTCCGATATTTCACGGTGAACTTGAAGGATTGGAGCCTTAATACCCACCGCTCAATTTGAGCACACGGCGAGGATGAAAGTGAGAAAATGATCTCTAACGGCTCTGTTTGGCAATAACGTTTCTCGGTTATGGTTAGGCTTTTGCTCGTATAGCTTATAATTCGAAGATCAGCATCAGTTCTACCTTTAAATTGAACAAGGACTGCCCCTAGAGCCACTGGAGAAGCATCCGCTATAATTCGAGTTCTCAACGTGTTATTGAAAAACGAGAGAGTTTGTACATCAGCGATCATCAATTTTAGGAGCTCAAAACTGTCTTGATGTTTCCTTTCCCTTCCCACGTGAATCTATTATTTTTGCAGATAAGTTGTCTTAGAGGTTCCGTTATTGTTGCTAAATCGGGAATGAATTTTCCGACATACGATACAAGACCCAGGAAACTTCTTACTTCTTCTGGAGTCTTTGGTTCGCGAAATCTTTGAAGCGCTTCAACCTTACTAATAGTTGGCTTAATTCCTTCCGATGAAATCAGATGACCAAGGAACTCAACTTGCTTTACTTTAAAAATACATTTGTCCTTGTTAAGCAATACATTCCGGAACTCAAGTACTCTGAGCACCTTCCTCAATGCTTCATCGTGTTCTTCTTCAGTGTCCCCCGAGACTATTATGTCATCCATGTAATTTACAACATTCTCACAGTCTGATAGAATATGTTCCAAAATCTTTTGGAACATCTCTGGAGCACAGGAAATTCCAAACATTAGCCGCTTGTATCTGAACAATCCTTTATGGCAAATAAAGGTTGTTATATATCGGGACAATTCTTCCAGCTCAATCTGAAGAAGTCGAAATCAAATAGAGTTTCATGAGTATACTATCTATACATGTATAATTTCTATAATTATGTAACCCCCGAAATATTCGACTACTTTTACAATATTATTTTCTCTTCTAGAGTTCTTACCTGATGAAAAGCATCTTTAATGTCTAATCGGCTAAAGAATCGACATGACTTAAAGTGGGGCAAGAAGTCTTCAAACGTAGGCATCACATGATGCTCTCTCTGGATTGCTTGATTCGGTCGCCGCATATCCACACAAAGGCGTAGATCACCATTGTCCTTCACAATGGTTACCAATGGTGATACCCAAGGCGATGGTCCCGTTACGAATTCGATAATATCGTTTGCCAAAAGCTGATCCAATTTATCTTCAATCCGACTAAGTAATGCAATTGGAGGACGACGAGCTCTTTGAACGATTGGAGTGACATTTTGATTAACGGGAATCCTTACTTGAACATTCTTCATCTTGGGAAATGGCCGTTTCGCTACTGGAATCACAGCGTTGATTGAGTGCTCAGGATACGGAAGTCCAATTTTCAGCACTCTTAAACACTTCGCAGTTTCCTTTCCAAGTAGCGACTGCAATCCACCTACCACAACATAGAATATTGCAATGGTTTCAAATTTGCTGCTATTTGATTCCACTGAAATGACGGCTTCAAACACGTGTACGATTTCCAATGGTTTAGCTTCTCGACCGTATCCTCGAAGAGTTGTATTAGGAACATCTCGTGGAACCCAGCTTCTCACACCTTGTTTCTTCATGTAGGCCCAGGTCGCATCATCGATAATATTCTTTGAACTGCCTGAATCGATTAACACCTGAACCAAAACTCCTCCAATCTTTGTCCCACAGAAATTCGTCACCATCACCAATGTTAAAAATGAAGCTCTCTGGTTCAGTTCGATCAAATTTTTCTTCTGCCACGATAGTACGCACGTTTCCATACCTGGCTCTTTTCTCTGGATGGTGTGAATGTGGTCCCTCGTATCGTTGTTTGAAAATTTGTCCTGATCGACATACTTTTGCATAATGGCCTATTTTATGACACTTTTTGCATTTTCTTCCTCGGGCCGGACATTCACGATCGGTTGCATGATGATTTTGTAATCCACCACGGTAGCAGGTGCTACGGTTTTGCCTTGCTGATGTATTTGTGGGGCGCGAACGCGGACCGCGAATAAATAAAACGGATAAAACTTGTTGTTTTTAATCGACAATCTCAAGGAGCTCTTTATTGTCTCACGTGTTTTTCAACTCTGACACTT